CTTTGTCTCCTTCCACCTCACCACATGGCCCTTCTCCCCCGCCATCTTGTGACCCTCCTCCTCTGCCATCTTGTACCTCTCCTTTGTCTCCTTCCTCTCTCCTGCCATCTTGTGACCCTCCTTTACCTCCTCCTACCCCATCCCATCCACCTCACATCTCCCCACCCCACACCCGTTCTCACTATTCCACCTTTCCACTATCAGCCCTGGCCACACAGATGCCCCTCTGAGAGGTAGCTGGGACTGAGGACATTGTTAGAGTACATGTTCCCATCTCTTTCTCTGACCTTTCTCAAATTGAAAAACGCCTAGGCTCCTTTTTCTCTGATCCCGATGTTTATATCAAAGAATTTCGCTACCTTACTCAGTCTTATGATATGACCTGGCGAGATATTTATACAATTCTTTCAACTACTCTCTCCCCAGAGGAACGCCAGAGGGTCTGGAGGGCAGCCCAGGCAGCAGCGGATGATTTTCATGCCAGAGATCCAACTAAACTGGTGGGCATCCAGGCAGTGCCAGATACTCAACCTGATTGGACTTACCAGGATGGAGACCCAGGCAGAGATCTCCGAGACTACATGATTGTTTGTCTCGGAGAAGGCTTAAAGAGAATTTCACAAAAGACAGTTAATTTTGATAAAATTAGGGAAATAACTCAGGGACCCCAAGAAAATCCAGCACAGTTTCTTTCTAAGTTGGCTAATGCTCTTCAAAAATATGCCAAAATTGATCCCACCTCTCAGGCAGGCACGATTGTTATTAACACCCATTTTATTTCACAGTCTGCCCCTGACATCAGGAGAAAACTAAAAAGGGTTGAGGAGGGCCCCCAGGCCACACAAACTGAGCTCCTCAATGTTGCTTTTAAGGTGTTCAGTCACCGTGAGGAACAAGCAAAACAACAAAAAGTGGCCAATTACCAGATGCTGGCAGCAGCCCAACAGGGTAAACCATCATCCTGCAAAAGGACGTTTACTCGTGATGGGCCTCCTGGGGCCTGTTTTAAGTGTAATCAGACTGGACACTGGGCTAGAGAATGTCCCAATACCAAGCCACTGCCTGGCCCTTGTCCTGACTGCAAGCAGATGGGTCACTGGAGGGTTGACTGTCCCCTTCGCCAAAGAGGTAAGAGGCCATCCCCTCCTCAAACCCAGTCAGCAGGTGTGGAGACGTCTCTGTCAGAGCTCATCGGCCTGGCGACGGAGGATTGGTGGTGCGCAGGGTCATCTGCAGCCCCCACGGCCATCACTCTCAATGAGCCCAGGGTAACTGTCAGTGTCTCAGGTAGGCCTATTTCATTTTTACTTGATACGGGGGCTACCTACTCGGCCTTACAACAGTACTGAGGCCCTACATGTCCCTCCATGGTAACTATCATGGGAGTTCAGAGAATACCCTCAAACCCACTAAGTACACCACCCCTAGCTTGTTCTCCGCTGGGCAGTACATTTTCACATAGTTTCTTGGTTATTCCTAGCTGCCCTACCCCCATGTTGGGGAGAGATATTTTAACTAAATTTAGGGCTTCACTCACCCTTCACGCAGCCAATTCAGATCCTACCAGTATTCTGCTGCTCCTGGCTGCCCCCCTGACAGATTCAACTCCAAATCTAACTTCACCCTCTCCTA